TGTAGCTGTAAAAATCTACAATAGTGCTCCCACAGTTAATGACACTGCATAACAATTATATACATTGTTTAACCTGGTGCGAAAACCACTGACAAACAAGATAATGCCTGCAATACAAAGGAAAAAGAGACCAATGTTTTAATTAAACTGTCACTTGATTTATATAATACGTCATTTGTGTGAATGTCTATCCGCGAAGCAAAGAAACATGTACTGTTATTGGAGGCCATAGTTTATCGAGCTTTATCCTCAACCGAAATATACACATTTGTCAGATTCATTTATAATTAGATTTTTTCCTTCATTGTCTCTAGGGCCGACTGATGACAAGTAGTCTCTCCCAGCATACACCGCGCTCCTCTCCCGTTTCTCCAGGAAGTGCAAGCCAAGCTACAAAGACTCACTCGCAGTGTGAACAACGTCAGAAGCCTTCTTGTCACAGGCATCTGCTAACTGCGGGATTTGACTTTCAGTACGACGACTCTCTTGAACGCTCCTCTGTTTTCGTACTTTAAGGTTTTATATTGTACGAAGGTTATCGTGTTGTGAACTGGTTGTAACTTTGAAGTGCCATCCATGTCATAAGAATGTTCAATACGTGCCTCCTTCTTATGGAACAATAATTAAACACGCCGTTGTTTTTATTGAAACATAAAACTTGGATGCGGTTATGTTTTTAATGTTAGTACAACACAAATAGAACCATTCAAATCACTGTTGATGCAAGGACACGGCGATCAAGTCAGAGTCAAGTTGGTTTCACAGCGACCTCTATATCCATGGCTTTGGCAAGGTTCTTCACGATGACATAAATTTATGTACAAAAACAAGAGATATTGGCAATGTACCCCCAAAACCATGTCGCAGAGATTAAACCGCAATCCTAAATACAATCAAGGAAGGTTTTTCTTTACATTCACAAAAAGTATTCGAGGGAAGTAGAATCAGTACCCCGTGTATTCAAAAGATCAATACAATCAAAGAATTTGCTTGACGTTTTACAGTCTCAATTCTGTCAAAACATTTTAATTTTCAGCTTTGTACATCACTATTCAACATGACAAAGTAAGGGAAGACATGATCGCTGATCCAAAGGTCCTTTGTTCGGAGCATGGTGACAATAGATAGAGGTAGTTGCATTTTCTCTCCAAGGGTTCAGGACTATTTGTATAAAATGAAACCAAATGTCAACTGAAGTTTACTCAGTTAAGTTTGAAAAGTGTTTGGTGTCATTATTTCGAGCTGGGACATCCAATCACTGTTTAAAACGGAAGTACAGTACGACGCCTTGTTGATAGAGCGAGCTTCCTTACAGTGCTGAGGGTGTCGATGCCTACATCGATGATGCCATCACTGACTTTACAGGATTGAGGGTGTCGATGCCTACATCGATGATGTCATCACTGACTTCACGGTGTTGAGGGTGTCGATGCCTGCATCGATGATGCCAATACTGACTTTACGGTGTTGAGGGTGGCGATGCCGACATCGATGATGCCATCACTGAATTTACGGTGCTGAGGGTGCCTCGATGATGCCATCACTGACTTTACAGGATTGAGGGTGTCGATGCCTACATCGATGATGTCATCACTGACTTTACGGTGTTGAGGGTGTCGATGCCTACATCGATGATGCCATCACTGACTTTACGGTGTTGAGGGTGTCGATGCCTCACATCGATGATGCCATCACTGACTGTCGATGCCTGCCTACATCGATGATGCCATCACTGACTTTACGGTGTTGAGGGTGTCGATGCCTACATCGATGATGCCATCACTGACTTTACGGTGTTGAGGGTGGCGATGCCGACATCGATGATGCCATCACTGACTTTACGGTTCTGAGGGTGTCGATGCCTACATCGATGATGCCATCACTGACTTTACAGGATTGAGGGTGTCGATGCCTACATCGATGATGCCATCACTGACTTTACGGTGTTGAGGGTGTCGATGCCTACATCGATGATGCCATCACTGACTGCCTACATCGATGATGTGATCACTGACTTTACAGGATTGAGGGTGTTGATGCCTACATCGATGTAGCCATCACTGACTTTACGGTGCTGAGGGTGTCGATGCCTACATCGATGATGCCATCACTGACTTCACAGTGTGAAGAGTATTGATGCCTACATCGATGTAGCCATCACTGACTTCACGGTGTTGAGGGTGTCGATGCCTACATCGATGACGCCATCACTGACTTCACAGTGTGAAGGGTATTGATGCCTACATCGATGTAGCCATCACTGACTTCACAGTGTGAAGGGGTATCGATACCTACATCGATGTAGCCATCACTGACTTCACAGTGTGAAGGGTATCGATGCCTACATCGATGTAGCTATTACTGACTTCACAGTGTGAAGAGTATCGATGCCTACATCGATGACGCCATCACTGACTTCACAGTGTGAAGGGTATCGATGCCTACATCAGTGACTGCTAAGATGGAAGCTATTTTGAAATTACAAGTTACCAACACAAAAGGAACTTTTCGATATGGTTACTACCGTATCATATCAATATGTTTTACATGAAAAAGGTTGAAATTTGCTTCGTACAGTAATTGAAATGCTACTTTTGAGTAAATGGTATGGCACAGAACCAACTTGAAAGTATTTGGACTATGTAAGTGTGCAAGCGTATGCCTCTCTCATCTTACATAACACCAAGTGTGCAGACCTTATGTTTATCCTGGAGATCCAGCCTTGGCTCTGGAAGCTGCCCGCCGTTGCTGCTAGGTGACTATTATTGTTACTATTGTCCACTGCTAGGAGGTAATTGTTCTTCCATTGAATTTTGGACTGCAGTTCTACAGTAATTTAAATTTATTTGTAAATCCAGCTGATTGTATATTACGATTGTGAAAAGTAGGAAAGTTTCTTTGTCGTTGTTTTCATTTTCGCACTGAAGGCTCGTTTGTTTACAACTTGACACTTAATAAGATAACGCTTAAGACAAAAAACACATATTTAGCCAAAGGGTCTCGCATGCCGTAAATATCAAACTTGTTTTAAGTAAAAAGTAAACGTGGATGTTCGACCCTTTAAATGCCCTCCCAACCACGGCTGTCAATCTGAGTCGTCACAGTATATGATCTTAGCTAAAGACTACTGACATACTATTTCCCAAAGTTGATTCTAAGGCTGACTTTACGAAAAGCTTAAGTTTGACGAAGACATGGGTCAAAGCTTTCATGATCACGGGTTCGCTATTTAGGCATCCGACAAATCCGCTGGTCGTTGGTGACAATTCAGCCTATCAGATGACATGTTGTACAGTACAACCAGAAATTATTGAGAATTTAAAGATTGTACATTTTTTATATTTTTTTCATTCATTACTCACGTATTAAATGTGAATATTAGCAGAACATAACTCCAGATTCAAAGACAGGTGAACAGTTAGTATTTTGTCAAGTCACCATGGGCAGCAATGCAGGCTTCAATGCGGCGGGGCATACTACTGATCAAAGAAGTTAGAAAGTCGTGGTCCATGCTGTTCGACTATCGGACCACCTTTTCTTTCATTTCAGCAATATTTGTCAGATGTTTCTTATTGACACTTTACTTCATAAGTCCCTAAACATTTTCTATTGGATTTAGGCCAGGGCTATAGCTTGGCCAATCTAATAATGTCATATTTTGAGTCCGAAACCAGGCCTGTGAATGCTTTGAACGATGTTTTGGGTCGTTGTCCTGCTGGAAAATCCAAAACTTTCCATAGAACATGTGAGCAGATGGAAGTAAAAGTCCCTCGAGAATATCTGTGTACTGCTCACTGTTCACATATTCCCTTCAAATACACAGAGGGGCGTTGCCCCTAACACAGATATGCCACCCCACAGGTTAAATTTCGGACTGTACTTTGGGCGCTGATACAAAGGTTTTTCAGTTTGTTTGGTCTAGAATTTCAATGTATTAGGAAACAGCCACACAGAACTTTCATCTGAGAAAATCACATTGTCCCAATTAAAATTTCTATGCTGTAAGCACCAGTTCAACCTTCGCTCCTTTTGTTCAGGTTTCATGATCGGTAATGGAATTCCTCGACTTTCCTGCCAACCCATTGCATGCAGCTCAGTTCTAATTGTCTCCTTACAGACAGCCACAGTTCCTCTATCAATCATATCCAGCCTTAAGTTTTCTAAACTCCTTCGTTTGTTTTTAGAAACAAGAACACCAAGCCGCCTCCTGTCACCGACTGTCAATTTTCTGGGCCTACCTGCGCCTCCCTGGTGCTCAGTGCCATATCCATTTGCAATATTTTTCAAAACACGCTAAACGGTGGACAAAGGGATGCCTGTTCTACTTGAAATCACTTTAGCTGATCTGATGTCATTGTTATAATACTCTAAAATAAACTTCCTCTTCTCTAAATCATCCATACTGAGGATCACTGAAAATGTCGTCTGCTAGCAAGTAAACAAAGGGGGATAACTCTTCACAAACTAATGAAAAAGGATTAGCGGAGTTGTCTCTCTTGAATGAAACCAAGCACTTGATAGCTGGTCAAGGTTGTTTATACTAGAAATCCAATTAAACATATTCCTAAAATTCTCAATAATTTCTGGTCATACTATAACTTATTTGTGACAGACTGTTTTGACCTTTCGTTGAAGAGCTTTCAGAAACATGGCTATAAATACAGGTAATCCGCACCAGCAGCGTCGGTGAGAGTGATTGTCTTCACATCCTTGTCCTCCATACATCTTACGCTGCCAAAGACCTGTTATTTTCGGAATACACACTGCAGGCTTGAATGGGTAGTGTTAGGAAACAATTACCGAGCTAGCTAGATAGTTATCAACTTCAAGTCCTCCGCCAGGAAGTAACATAGTTCAAAAATGTTTTTTTTGTATGTGTGGCAATCTCAAATTTTCCCGCTTTTTTGGTATAAATCTAAATAATACATTTCCTCTTCGTTTTGTTCCTAGTTTAATGACAGAGACATGGGAAATTTAATTGTTATTCGTAAAGCAGCAGAATGGTACATACGAGGGGTACTTCTTGTCTTTCCGCAACTCCAGAAGTCCGTCGTCAATACCACAAGCACCCCAAACATCACAAGTCACTCCTCAAACATCACAAGTCACTCCCCAAACACCACAAGTCACTCCCCAAACACAACAAGTCACTCCCCAAACACCACAAGTCACTCCTCAACACCACAAGTCACTCCCCAAACACCACAAGTCACTCCCCAAACACAACAAGTCACTCCCCAAACACAACAAGTCACTCCCCAAACACAACAAGTCACTCCCCAAACACCACAAGTCACTCCCCAAACACAACAAGTCACTCCCCAAACACCACATGTCACTCCTCAACACCACAAATCACTCCTCCATACCACAAGTCACTCCCCAAACACCACAAGTCACTCCCCAAACACCACAAGTCACTCCTCAAACATCACAAGTCACTTCTCAACACCACAAGCCAGGCCTCCCCAAACACAACAAGTCACTCCTCAACACCACAAGTCACTCCCCAAACACCACAAGTCACTCCTCAACACCACAAGTCACTCCCCAAACACAACAAGTCACTCCTCAACACCACAAGTCACTCCCCAAACACCACAAGTCACTCCTCAACACCACAAGTCACTCCTCAACACCACAGGTCATTCCTTAACACCACAAGCCAGGCCTCCCCAAACACCACAAGTCATTCCTCAACACCAGAAGTCACGTCTCCTCTGCACCAAAAGCACCGTGTGTCAGAAACGTTTTAGCTTCCACAGAACTCCGAGAGCGTGCTTCGGGACAACAACAGTTTCCGACTCTCACACGCGAGCAGCTTCACGGTGTAATCCAACAAATACATCCAATCTAGACGAGAAGCGATAGTTTGGCGAGAACTGTAGAAGATAAATTCCGTGTGCACTGGCGAGTTATGTCTTCTCCGGGGCTGCAAATTGCCATCGGGAATAGGTAACATTAGCTCTGGTTTAAATATGCATGACACAACTACAGAAAGGGGAACATCAAAATAATAAAATGTCACGTCCAGAGCAAACACCACCAGCAAGGTGCGTGATGACATGCAATAGCCATACTTCCATGATTTCCCCGCAGATAGATAACAGCTGACACACACTAGACTGGTGCTCTTTCCACAGGTAATGGTGGCGTCACGTGTATTCGTTTGTATGCAGCGGTGGGAATATTTCAGTATATCACAATAGCTACGTTTGGTCATGGCAAACCATGAACAGCGATTCTCGTCATCGGGGAAAATAGTCATAATCGTAATCGGGCAGACCACAGAGCTTTACCACCCAGTGCTCGTTTCAATCATCTGGTGCGACAAGCTTAGTGTGTAATAGTCATTCTTTAGCGGAAGCTGCACACAACCTCCAGCCTCCAACCCTTCCCAGCACCACCTCCAACCAACAACCCTGCCACACACCAACAACCTCCAGCCCTACCCCACCATACACCACCTCCAGCCTCCAACCCTTCCCCACCACACCACCTCCAGCCTCCAGCCCTTCCCCACCACACACCTGCAACCTCCAGCCTAACCACCTACCACCTCCACCTTTCCTCCTGCACCCGCCTCCACCCCTACCCTCCTACACACCACCTCCAACCTCCACCCCTTCCCCACTGCACACCACCTCCACCCTACCTCACTGCACACCACCTACCTCCATACCACCCACCTCCACCTCCACCCCTTCCCCACTACACACCACCTCCAGCCTCCTACCTTCTACTGCACACCACCTCCACCTCCAACCCTACCTCACTACACACACCACCTCCAACCTCACCCCTTCCACCACCGCACACCACCTCCAACTCCTGCCTCACTACGCACACTCCAACCTACAATCCTACCCCACCATACACCACCTCCCTCCAACCCTCCCCTGCCGCACACCACCTCCAACCCTACTCCAGCCCTCCCCCTACTGCCGCACACACCTCCAACCCTGCCTCACTGCACACACTCACCTCCTCCAACCTACAACCCTACTACCCACTGCTCCACCACTGCCCTACAACCCTGCCCACCATGCACCCACCTCCAGCCTCCACCTTCTTCCCACGCCACACCACCTCCAACCCCTGCCTCACTGCACACCACCTCCAACCTACAATCCTGCCCACCCCACCATCACCACCTCCAGCCCTGCCCTCCCCACCGCACACCACCTCCAACCCTACCCTACACACCACCTCCAACCCCTACACCCCTACACCACCACCTCCACCTCTCCAACCCTACCTCGCCGCACACCACCTCCAACCCTACCTCACTACACACCACCTCCAAACTACAACCCTACCCCACCATACACCACCTCCAACCTCCAACCCTACCCCACTACACACCACCTCCAACCCAGAACCCTACCCCACTACACACCACCTCCAAACTACAACCCTGCCCACCATACACCACCTCCAACCTACAACCCAATTTCAACGTATCTAAACCCTGTAAGGATACAGAGAAGGTCCCTGGCTGGAAATGCTCCCCACCACACAAGAGTCGACACACCGACTTATCTGGCCCGGGTTCGGACTCTATTCATACGTCAGTGATGTAGCATAACACCAATACTCCACTTCTTTCACTGCCTTTGTTTGTAGTCTGTAAGAGGGGGTAAGCGTGTCGGCTCTCCTTCAATGACGTGAAAAATTAAAACACTAAATAATAAATAGTCTCGATTGTCCTCATTCCATTAGCGTAAAGAAGCAAAATGAGCATCGATGAGAATAGCAGCAAACTGGAAAAGTGTGAGTGAGTGAGTGAGTGAGGTGAGTTTGAACCTAGCTACAGCTACATTTTACTCTGGATCTTACGATGTAGCAGCGATGTGGAATCTTACCTAGATCTTCCATGTGACGAGGCAAAGCTTTGTCCGTTACGCTAAAACACCCTCCCCTTACTCTAAGTGTAACTGATAGAGCTTTGGAAATCTGATGCATGTTGCTTCAAATGTCGATCTCTATCTTCACAGTCCTTCTTCTCATCTTGTGTATCGATTCCTGTTTGATCTTTGAAAGGCAAAGTGCGGTATTGACATATGTTTGGCTGTAAGCTCGTCTTTATTACAGATGAAACGGATTTATCGAAAAACGTTGTAAAGTTACCAAGAAATAAACATGGACATTTTCAAATCCATAATCCTTGCAAATCAATTCAGTACAGTAAAAGATATATGGTTCAGAACCCAACGACCCATTAATAACAGAATAACTTCTGCGGGCTTCGCGGAAACCTGATTCAGTTAAGTTCACCAGTTTAGACAAATTGGAGTAAATCAGATAAATAAATTGGCCATGTGGTGGCAGAAATAGGTGAAAATGGCCTCCTGGACAAACAGCCATAGCGGGAAGGCGAGCTATTAGTTGCCAGTAGCGACGTAACGGCACGTTCAAGGTGGAACACTCGTCGTAATTAACATGTTAGGTGTGGTCTGGAAAACAAATATATCCATGCTTGTTTTACTTATACATATATTCGAAGGGAATATATACGTACATTTTAATATCATTATGCATCTTTATATTTACATTTTGTTCATGTTCTGATGTATCAGTGATATATACACATGGCTATTAATCAAGCACCTGCCATTTTTTGAAAGACAAGTAGGAGAACGATGTGTTTGACTGGTATTTTAGAAGTAAATGAATAATAAGAAAAGTACGATACTTTATTATGGTATGGTACCTTTCTTAAGTAGGAAAACAGTACATGTTGAATGTGCTTCAAAAATCAAATTCCGCGTAAACGGTATCTTCTGCAGCATATTTTACTCTGATTAGAAACAAAGACAAATCACAAATTGAAGTTTAATAACAGGTAAAATGCAGTCTGAGAGTATTATACAAAACGTGAACATCAGCAAAGTTGCAAAATATGCCCACATTGACTACGCCACCACACTGACTACCACACAAATGGTCTTGTGATTCTACTATAGTTAGCAGCAACAGCGACCAGGAGGTTATTAATTTAATTAAAGCGAGTTTACAATCCAACATGAAGTACAGAATGACCGAGTAGTTACTGAAGTTCAGTAAAATCCAGTAGCACAGTAAGTATACTATTGCCATTAGTAAATTATGAGTAGCAGATAAGTAAATATCACTAACATAATTAACATTGTTGACTATCTGAATGGGTCGTTCTTTGAAACATGAGGGGCGGTGGAGTAGCCTAGTGGTTAAAGCGGTCGCTCGTCACACCGAGGACTCTGGTTCGATTCCCCACATGGGTACAATGTGTAAAGCTCATTTCTGGTGTCCTCCGCCGTGATATTGCTGGAATATTGCCAAAAATGGCGTAAAACCAAACTCACTCACTCATTGAAACATGAATCGTGATATCTACTTACTGAGTTTAGTCATCGAGATAGGCGACTTCCCACTTAGGTGTGGTCTGGAAAACAAATTGTTTCACAAGGATATACGTTTTTACCTAAATATATATTTGAGTGAATATGTAAGTTTACAGTTTAATATCGTTGTGTACCTTTGTGAATGCAAATTGTTCATCCGTTGTTTAGGAATGTATCTGATATGAAATCTTAAACATGAATCGAGAAATAGGTTTAATGATTCAAGTGAATCTACTGGTGTTTTAGTAACAGAGGCGAGAAGGTTATTAATCAGCTAATTTACCATCCGGTTTGGTGGATGGCACACCGGTTGCGAACAAAATATATTAAAAGATATTACTATGTCCATCCAAATGTGATAAAATTCTCCTCATTGTTAAGTAGTAAAAATCCAGTTCTTCTACAAAATATTTCAATGTTCATTTACTATGCTATGATTACCCGATCTAAATTCCTCTCAAATGTAACATAACTTTATGTACTATAGGCCTGTGGCCTTCTCAGTTCAAATAGAGAGAAGAGGCATCATATTTCGGTTTCTGCCTGAAGACCGAACACCTCACTTCAATCAATTGCTACCCGTCACAACATGAATATATACACTAGATTGTTCATACGCTGACTAACAAACAGTTATAACCTACATTCACATGAAGACGTGTGTTTAGAGAGTTGTTTATTGTCCTATCCAGAAACGCTTCGCCCTGTTTATCTTCATAAGGACGGAAATCTCCAAGTAACAAAATGATTCTGGAATGCAAGCTCCTCTCGCTGTTCAAATCTTACTGCTTAATATTCCAATACGAGGAGTTGAATCATTTCCTGGCATATATAATTAAAGCAGTTTCTCAGTTTGTGCAAGACATTAAACAACCTGTACATACGACTGTGTTTGTGTACAGCGATGATAGATCTGTAGTTGTGAATGGGAATTAATATAAAACATATACTGTGACAATAAGGTTTAAACTATCACGACAAAATATTACAAAAGATAAACATGTCTTACAATTTATTCAACAAGTGCATATCCACAGATGTTATGTAAGAATATTCTTTTTAAGAAATCTCTTGAAAAGTAAACTTACCACCCACATGCTTTGCTTAAGAACAGTTACCGAACATAGATTCGTGTGTAATACATCATTGCTGATGTACTGATTGAACGGATACATTATCTGGATAACATCAATTCAAGCTCTGGGGCTACTTTCTTCCTGACCGAATAACATGTGAAAGAACTCATGAAGTATTCTTAAAATATAATCTATAGAATCGTGACTTGAGTGTATTACTGGTAATCTCATAAACGCCCTGATATCGTTATACCACACTCCCATTGCGCTCCTGCAGAAATCTGCAAACATTATAACTTCCAGCCGCAAGATATAGATCACAGTCGATGAGCGTTATGAATTGGTGTGTGCTGGTCGTGGCAGCTGTTGTAATAGCTACAGACAAATAATCATTTATTTCAGCATGAAATTGACACCAAGCAGATTCTGGTATCGACAAACCGGTTTATTACAGGTATTAAATCCATACTGCACACAGAAAGTGTTATGGCCTACCGTTAACGAGGGTATTTTTATAGTTGCAGTGCTAACAGTTGATATTGGATATTTGTGATTCTATTCTCAGTCGTCAATTATAATGAAGAACAAGAACAATGTATAATTATTGCACTGATGATACAAGTGAGCATTTGTGTTGTTCTAGGGGGTATTTAAAGATATTCACGGGAATCGTACAGGAGGGGTTATTTTAATGCTTCGTTCCTTTTACCATGTTCAGTTATCAGGAACATTGCTGAAATAATTAAAATCAGCGCCTTTCTTTCACACTATTAGAATTAGTCATTGTTCTACACACTGAATTATACAATCCTCGCATTACTCACTGCTCGAGTCGTGTTCCTTCTAGTCCACAGACATCACAGCCGGCTGTAAGTATTACACAGAGTCACTCTTTGTAAATATGTCCCGACATACGATGTGCTACAGTTCCTTATAGACACCTGCATAGATCAACGAATATGATATAACACACGTATCACTATCCCCCATCCACCGTCCACCATCAACATTCATACACATCAGAAATTATATTTGTGATCTGAGTACACTTTGACTCCGATTTAGAGAAACAGGGGTATTTCCACAGATCAGGGAGGGTATACTTTCTCTTCTGAACAGGCTAGGAAGTCTATCCTAACAATACCTTTGTTCTTTATGCTTATCTTTATGCCTGTGTGTAAGGAAGCAAACTAAAGTCAAAACATGTGAAGAGGGCTAAGAAAAATCTATATGGACTTTAGGGGATATGACATTATTTAATGAGGCTTGTCAATTTCCAACACTCGTCATTTTGGACCTGAAAACAACTTCAAGCAGATGTGTCAAGAAAGGCAGGGTTTTTCTAAATTGACATTGACAGGAAATAAATATTTGAACACACTTCAAACGACAAGCATTGTTTGGGAAGCCGACATGTTTTGTCAGGATCCACTCATCACTGGAGGTCAAGTAAAAGAGAGGGAGGTTAAATCTGCGGGTGATTACCGCACTTCTTCAATAAATAATCACATGATTACTGGCCAGAACATCCTCGAAGCTACCAAAATAATAGTCACTGTTTTATTTAAATGGTTTTGTAAGGTAATAGCAATAGTGTCATGGTAATTAATTTTCAGAATTTCTATTCACTATTATATGCGACATTGAACCACATACAAGCGTACAAAGAAAACAAATGAGTATTTTTAAGACAGGGCTTCATCAAACGTAATCTATCTATATATATCCCATTCTATCGAAAGAATGTAGATTATGTTCACAAAGCCCATGCAAGAATTCGCGGAAAGCCGTCATATTGTAGACAAGTCTTCCTCCAAACTGTTCAAGGTCACGTGTCAACGTAAAATTCTTGCAAATGGGTTAAATAACAGTTTTTTGTTTCCAGTTTACCAAATGACCATCCGACGCGATAGTTTAACATATTCCACTGGAAATAGAAAGACAAAACAAACACTCAATATAAAGTTTCTAGCATTATCTGAAGAAAGACGAGCAGTTGCTGTGAAAATAGCAACTGTCAAACGACGCCCGGGTTGTTTTGTGCTGTGTTTGCAATGAAAAGTACTTCAAGTGACTCTGATGCACGACACTGGCGAACGTTCGTCTTCATGAGGACGTT